GGTTGGCGGGGCTGGCAGGGCTCCCCACCTGGCTCCGCATCCCTGCAGCTCCTCGGCGGCGGAGGGCAGGGGCTCCTCCGCTGCTCCCGCCACAAGTGCCGGCTGCCGCAGTTCCCATCGGCCGGGAACCGCAGCCAATGGGAGCTGCGGGGGTGGGGCCTACGGGCAGCGCAGAGACCCCCTCTGCCGCCTAGAAGCTGCAGGGAGGCCCCACACCCCCTGCACTCACCAAACTCCTGCTCCTTGCCTGAGCCCCCTCCCACACACCCAAACTGCTGCTGATGGCCATGGGGCTGCTGCAGAGGTCACGGAAAGTCACAGAATCTGTGACCTCGGTGACAGACTCGTAGCCTTAGTTATGGCATTTTCAGTTTTGAAGTGTCATGTTTTTGAGATGTAAAACATACATGCAGGCCACTTAAAGCTTTTGAAGATTATATGGTACTTCCCTCAAGAGTAATAAAACTTGCAGGTATATAGCACCTCTCATCTGAGAATCTCAAAATATTTTAGCAACATTAAGCTTTTCAATAGCTTTGTGAGATGGATAACTGTTGTATTTAATTTTACAGATGGGTAAGGTGAAATTAAGTGACTTGGTCAAGGCAACACAGCAGGTCCATGGCCAACTGGGATTACAACCCAAGAGTCCTGATTGCCAATGTTGTCTGTCCTTACTCATATATGTCACACTTTCCTTTCTCATAAAGTCCTGCCACTTCAGCTCTGCAGAAATCCAGTCCAATTTTCAGTTAGCGTACTTACTGTTTATCTAAATTCCTCTTTAAACTTTAGTTCAGCAGTTCCTGTTCTAAACTGAATGTTATTTGCAGCCAAGCAGCTGGTGCATTCCATTCCAGAGGTGGCTGCATTTCAGGCAAAGTAATTCCTTAGTATACATGGTTTATAATGAGCTTAGAAATGCTTCACAATATATATATAATTGTAACATTGTTATAATGGTTTTTGTATTCCAGTAAAAGCTAGTAACCCCATCATGCTAAAAGATACTTGCACTGTATTTAAATTGATAAATTATACACTAAACAGTACAAGATATTTGCATAGATGTAAACATAGAAAGCAGAAGCTTACTTAAATTACTAATCAGATGTCTGTGTAGGACTGCATAACTAACTAGACGTATTTTTTCTTCTAAAAAGCAGCAAAGTGGACACATCCTTTCATATATGTACTGTGTAAATGCTGCCTTCTAGAGAGCTATTGAAAACTTGTTTAATTTTCCTCTTCCTAGATCCTTTTTATCTAAAATGGATAGGGCTTTTTTTATATACGCTCTTGAAAAAATGTACAAAAAACCTGTCTAAAGGACAACTCCTAAGTAGTTTCTTGTTCTTTTTCAATGCCCTCTGTGCATTTACATTTGTAGTGGCACACCTGATATCAAGCTGCAAAAGTACCTTGAAAAGTTGTGGCTGTTGGTTGAGGGGAGGTGGTGCCATAAGCGTTTCTTGTGTAAAGGTGATGGCATCACTCTCTTCTGAATAAGGGAATGCATCCCTAACAGCCTAAGTTACTTGCCACCTTGAGAGCAAGCGGCATTTGCCTTCATGTCCTGTGGACTAGAGCTTCCCTCAACCTAGCTTAAATCCTTATTGTAAATAGCTAGTTTAGAGTAGTGTAGGTTATCTTAGTATAAATATCCCTTTCCTTTCCTTGCAAGCCTTTGCCCCTTACCAGGACTGTCAGGCCCTGAGGTTTGTAAAGGCTTCAAGAGGTGTGCCTCTTGCCTGGCTATCATACTGGAGATCTGGTGCCTCTTCTATTTCCGGGCTCGTCTACACTACCTGCTGGTTCGGCAGGCAGCGATCAATCCGGGGGGGTCGCTTTATCACGTCTAGTGTAGATAAATTGACCGCTAAACGCTCTCCCGTTGACTCCGGTACTCCATCAGAACGAGGAGCACAAGTGGAGTCGACGGGAGAGCATCAGCTGTTGACTTACTGTAGTGAAGACACCACTGTAAGTAGATGTAAGTACGTCGACTTCAGCTATGCTATTCACGTAGCTGAAGTTGCGTATCTTAGATCGACTCCGCGCGGTAGTGTAGACAAGCCCTTAGTGAGACCCACTTAATAACCCCATATACAGTTTGCCACACTTTCATGCTCTGCACCAAAAGGGAGAGACATTTGAGGCTCCGGGCTCACCTGGCTTCTTGGTACTACTACCTGATATCTTATTGGGCTTATTGATGGGACATCAGTCACCGTGTCCCCTTCCTTCAGATCTCATTTCTCCTGCAGCTCCAGGTGCATGATTACTTCAGATAACTGGGTGCTAGACACCATCCAGGACAGATACTCAGTTCAGTTTTGCACCAGATCACCTCACCATCCCCCCACTCTTTCCCTCTTCAGGGACCCATTTCAAGAGTGTCCTAATGGAGGAAGTGGATTCCCTCCTCAGGAAATGAGCCATGGGGGGATTCAACGGGAATACAGAAGGAAAAGAGATTTTCCCCCTTCTCCTCCCCCCCCCCCCCACAAATTCCTTGAATCCCAATTAGAGAAACAGTCTGAGGGCCAACTGGACCTTAGAAACCCCAACAAGTACATAAGAATATTGAAGTTCAGGATGACCACTATCGAGGATGTTATCCATTCCTTAACCAAGGGAAATTGGTATGCAGTTCTCAGCTTAAAGGACACCTGTTTTCACTTAGCAAACAGTCACCTCAAGTATCTGGTTCTGTGTCCTAAAACTTGTTTTAACAAAACCGATAGGTGTGGGAGGCCTTCCCTAGGAGTCTCTTGCTCAAGACTCTTTCAAACATTAATTTATCAAAATTGCCTTCTGGATAGCAATTCACTCTATTAGGAGGGTGAGTGAGCTTAGTGCTTTGGTGGCCACTCCACCTTATAATGTGGTCCTCAAAGACAAAGTTACCATGAGACCCCATCCTGGTTTTATGGCCTAAGGTGCTCTCATATTCCCACTGGTCTCTATGTATTTCCCTCCTTTTATTTTCCCCCAGATCTTATTCGCAGCCAGAGGAAACTCCTGTCCGTGACATACAGGAGGGACAATCAAAATCAGCCTGGCAGAACGTGCATGAGAACTGTCTCTGGACAGATAAGCAATTGATCAAAATCCCATTCTCTGATCTCTTGGGGCCAAATCCTGTTCCCATTGAAATCAAAAAAAGTTTTGCTATTGAGTTCAATGGGAAAAGGCTTTGACATTCGGAGAGGAAAGAACAAAACCACTCAAGCAAGGGCTATGTTGCTTATACCACAGGTATCAAAGGCTGCTGACTCGTGTGAGAAAGTCAGCAGACATCTGATCTTTGCTGATTTCTCCCTTGCAATGGACAATCAATGAGGCTAGAACAGTCTTTGTACTGTATCCAACTGATAAGTCCATCTGCAAAGGATCAAGGAAATATGAAGGCTCCAGATTACCTTAAAGTCCTCAGTCCCTTGGTTAGAATGCTCCCGTCAGTATATGTTCATAGTCCAGAGGCTGGAGCAGGAATCCAAACCACTGTTTAAACACCTTCCGTCCGTCCCACCCCTCCCCTCTTGAGGACTCCTGACCAACTTAACAGCAAAATACATATACTAACAAACTTAAACAAAGCCTTTAAGTTTAGCATATGCACTGTGCTGTTAAACCCATATAAAGAATGAATGCCCTCCCTAGCCGCATTCTGCTCTTTTAAGGAGCAGAATGCAGCTCCACCCCCCTCCAGAGGGGGGGCTAGCCTCCCCAAGTGTTTCCGGTACCCCATACCCGCTAAAAATCTCTTGCCGGTACTGCATATTGGAGCGTACCACTCTACTTGCACTCCTGAGTATTCCTCTCCCACCATCCACCTGATGGCTTGCTAATCTCCCACAAGTAGGAATGCACAGAGGCCATCCAAGAAGAAAAAGGTTACTTATCAGTAACTACTGTTCTTTGGGAACTGCCTCTGTGTAGTCACACTATCCACACACCTACCCCCTACTTAGGATTTATATGTAACATCACATTTCTGTCCTTAGAGAGAAGGAACTGAGGTGTTTGGGAGGGTGCACCCCTTTTTATAGAGTAGGGTGAGGACTTCACTTATGCATCAGAATGCTCATGTACACACACATCCTTCCTTCTTGTACTGCTTTTCAATGCTGTTTCACAACTTGACTCTGAATTCCACAAGTCTGAATGCACAGTGGTGCCTCTCTAAGAACAAGCTATTGGTAACCTGTCTTTCTGAGACATTTATTTTCAGTATGGAGGACAAGAATTCCATGCATCATTTTAAAACCATATTATAGGTCACATTTTGAGTCTAAATTACTTGTTCTTCCAATATTAGGAAAACAAATATAAATATTTTGCATACTGAAACGTCTAGTAGCTAAACTATTAACTCTTTATCTTTACATCTATGAAGTGTCTCATTCTGAACTCTGATCATGTGTATTTTTTTATTTTATTTTTTGGCTAGGTTACCATACGCGTAGTCCAAAGTCATAAGCAGCCTCATGCATAACTGTCCATCAGGATGGCTGTTTTCTGCTTAGTAGTATAAGTTTTGTTGATCATTGTGGAAATAAACTATATGCAGTAGTTGGCATATGGATCAACAGCCTGGGCTTTAAAAATAAATCCAATATTAAATTGGGCATAAATTTTGGTAGTACTTAAAAGTCACAGCAAAAAAAAATTAAAAAAACGCCCTAGTAATATTGGTAATTACTTTGTTCTGTGCTTTTATAGGGAAACTCTGAAAACACATTACATGAGAGCAATGTAATCATGGGGCAAATGTTAAAAAACAACAACAAAAAGCAAATTTTGAGCTTAATTTCCAAGTGGTCTCTCATAGCTGCTATGGTATTACATTTTGTGTGTGTGTGCGCGCTCTGTACTGAATACATAACCATTCTATTTCCAGTATGGCTAATGGAAAATTTGCTTTATTGAATTTTACTTGTTCTTGATACACACACTTTGCTTGTGAAATCTTATTATTATTTTTATTTTTCTAGTTGACAAATCACGACCGCCTTCATCAAGCCCTTCCAGTATAATTCGCCGCACTTCCTCACTGGATACACTTGCTGCTCCCTACCTCGCTGGACAATGGCCTCGTGATAATCATGGACAGGCTGCTCCCTGTATGAGGGACAAAGCCACGCAGGTAAGACAGTTTTGTTAGGTGGTGTATTTAAGTGTAAGAGGCTGCCTTTTTTTTTTTTTTTTTTTTCTGTATACATTCACCTTCCAAGCTCACTTCTTTGGAATTTTCCTTCCCTTCCCAAATTCCTGGAGAGAGTTTGTTTTTCTATTTATTCCCAAATTCTTTGCACCCTTGCACGCTTGTGTTCTCCCCCCCCCACCCCCTCGCATTATATCCAAATTCGTGTTATATTGGGGTAGAGATGTATGTTTGTATAGGTCTTCCCCCAAGAAATTTTCTGGGAAACCCACCTAACTTTGTCCCATAAATTCATTCTTATCTGGCACATAGTTTCATGTAGTCTTTTGAAGCTCATGACACGTCCCAGGATTTATATTGGTCATGTCTCCTCCTATAGAAATTACATATAATTCCACAATTCATGAACTTTGCATCTTAATACAATGGACTCCAAACCTACTAAAACTTAAATCAGTAAGGTTTTTCAAGTATGTTGCAGGAAATGGCTGCATCTGTCACAATAGCCTCTTTCTGTATTCAGGACAGGATTTGAATAGTATACAGTAAATAATGCCTAGGCCACATATTGAACAATGAAGATAAAACAAGCTGTTGAATAGTTGGTCATTCAGTAAGCACCGTCCATTCTGTGCACTGAATGAGGCAGATGACCTGTGGGAAAAATATGTGATCATGTAATTAAAGACAGTATCATAATGCATACACACCAGGAGGTTGAATTAAAGTTGCCCAGGCAACTTAATTCTAGTATTTCCTAACTTTTGAGTGCTTGACTATAGATTATAGTATAGTTGTTTGTGTGATATTGCAATTATTAATTGTGCAGTATTGCTTATATACCAGAATGTTTGCTTGTGGCATATCTACACTACAAACTTAAGTCGATGTAATGTTAGGTTGACTTACAGCCACCACAGTAATTACTACAGTGGTTCATGTCCATGCTGGCCTCCTTCTGTTGGTGGTGCGCATCCACTGATTTAAGAGGGACAGTGTAGGGAGCTGAGAGAGCCTGGGCTCTCAGCTCTGTGTGCAGCTCCCTGCTGGGAGCCTCCCTATCCTCCCAGACTCCCTGCTGGGAGCACGGCTTCCCCCGTGGCTTCTGTGGGGAGCTATATGCCCAGAGCCCAGGCAGAAGCCCAGCTCAGGGTGAGGAGTCCAGAGCCAGGACCCCAGCTTGGGGCAGGGAGCCCCCCACCCGCCCCAGGCTGACAGCCCTGGCTGTGAGCCAGGCTCTCTTGTCAATTTCCTGACTCTAGCACGGAGCTGTGAAATTGATAAAATGAGAGCCAATAGTTGATATAAGTAACCTGCAGTGTCTATATGGACACTGCATTTCCCGAACTACGCTGACATAAGCCTCTCATGGAGGTAGAGTTATGTCGCTGTGGTAGGGCACTTATATTGGTGGAAGCAAGGCTGTAGTGTGGAAACTGACACAATTAGGTTGATGTAAGCTGCCTTACATCAACCTAACTCAGTCGTGTAGACCAGGCCTTTAGTCACGTACTCAAGCAGTACTAGAAATGTCTGTTAACACACAGGATCAATTTTAATCCCTGGTCAGAGCGCTGAAGTGATTGGGACTTGTACCCACTTAAACCTAATGGGTCAAATTTTTTCCGTGTTTTAAGTGAAACTAAATTAGAGTTAATACTTCTGTTATAGTTGGGGGTGATAAGTGTTCATATGAAATAGGGGAGAGACCTACTATGTAGATTATAGGAGTGGCTGAGGTGACATCTTCATACTGATTACTTATAGGAATATCAAAGTTGCCATAGAGGGCTTTCATTCAGTGACTTGTGCTTTCCAGCAGTGTTTGAATCCAGAAAATCATAATTGCATGCCCTCTCTTAGCTTAGTTGCTTCTAATTTCTCTTTTTTCTTTTTTTTTTTTTTTTTTGGCAAGAATAAGCATACCCTTTTAAAATTAATCCTTTAATCTTCTTGTTACAGACAGAGAGTGCCTGGGCTGAAGAATATTTAGAAAAGAAGAAAGGATCTCACAAGCGTTCAGCATCCTGGGGCAGCACAGACCAACTCAAGGAGGTCAGGAAAGCTATTGTTTGAAATAAAGTTGGGTCAGGCTTGTTGCCTGCATATTTTATTACCATGAGGTTTGAAGAAAGTGCAAATGTTTGTGTTTAGTCTTGCCATATAAAGATTGGAGGTGGAGAAAATAGAAATACATAATGGCTGATCTGTTTTGTAACTGATAGGATCACCGTGCAAGACACCAATATTTAATGAAGTGGGGTAGGGAAAGCAATGAAAAATCGAGGAAGTATCTGTTAGCTGAGAGAGGAATTCAAATGGTAATATAATTCCCATCAAACTTAATTCTTCTTTTCGTGATGATCCAATATTGTATTCCACTGAGGGTTATGCGCCCCGAGCCGGAGCTTTTGAAAGTAGTACTGTTCGGCGGTCCGCACATGCACACTGTGCCGCATCATGGCCTTGCCTGAGGTGATAAAGGGCACGGTGGGCTGTCTACATCTCCAGTTTCTTCTCACCACCTCATGGTCCAAGCCAGAGCTTCTACTCTCCAATCGTCCTTGTGACACACTTTCTGAAACTTTTCAAAACCTATCCTTAGTACTGTTAGTAGTTTAGATTTCTTAGTGGTTCTGCATTTACTTTTTCTGTTTTCTGTTCAATTCTTCCTTTCATATCAGATTTAGGACTTGGGACACTGCTTCAGTGGTGTTTCCTGCCAACCGTTACCCCACCCCAGCATCCGGTCCTGGGTACTAGGTATGCTGAAGATGCCAGGGTTCAAAACCTGTGATTCCTGCTCCCACTCATTTTCCATCAGCAACATACACCAGCATGTACTGCTTGGGAGGAGCCCCACATTGCATCCAGGTACAGTATCTGCCTCACCTGCTCGTACTTGGGAGAACCAGATGCTCCGCCTCAGGAAACACCTTATGGCGGCTGCCATGGGATCAACATTGGATCCTGGTTGGGGAGCACCCCCTTTACATTAGCCTGAACAGGTGAAGAGCGCTCCCTCTACTGCAGAACCCTGCACTGGGGCCTTGTCATGAACCAAGGAAGCATGCACATAAGCATGGCAGTAAGTCTTCCTCCAAATCTAATGAGGACTCGGCACCATCCACGATTTCCGGCCACGAAGTATCCGTGCGTTGTAAGTCTCACAAGAATAAGAAATGGCAGGACTGATCACTAGATCCACTGGTATCGATCACAGACCCAGCGACTCTGCTGGCATCTCATGAACCATTGGTCTCCAGATAGATGCAGTTCCTGATACTGACTCCTCCAGCGAAATGGATACCATTGACCCCTGGGAGAATTGGAGGTGCCCTGGATCCCCATGAGTTATTCGCACTCCACGACCACCGATCCGGTCACCAAGTCGAAGGGACCCTTTGCCCGCTATGCTCCTGCTACCTCCTGTTCCAAGAGTCCTAATGGCACCGCCATTTGGTGAGGTTTCTGAATCCTCTGTTTTGGATGATATGGATCTCTGACCCGGTCCACCACTCCTGTTCCGGAAGCACAACTACTGGAAGGTTCCGACAACACTAGGGCACTTCCCCACCTTGCTTTGTCTGCAGAGTTTGTATCTGGCACTGTGGTCCCAAGTTGCACAACAGCAGGGTCAACTGGGTTGGCCATACTGGAGATCATGGCCACAATATTCACCCTCTGAATGGTTCCGCTCGGTCTGGGAGGGCTCCCCCACTTCATCACCACAACCCTCGTCAGGTAAGCATTCCGACATAACCCTGCACCGATTAGCCCGACTCCAACGGTACTGACAGATCCTGAGAAGCATCCCTCATCTTCCCAGGATGCAGCTGCCTCTTCAATCCCCTCCTTCCCCACAGGGTGACTATCGCCAGTTCCAGGAATTGCTGCGGAGACTAGCTAATGCCCTACACATTACCATAGAGGAGGTACTAGACAATCAGTTGTAAATTGATGGGTCTACCCTTCGAACCGCTGGCAACTTGTTCCCTGCTCTACATGTCGTACAAGGGGTGTTTCTGATAGCGATAACCTCAGCAAGGAGGATGTCTGAGCTCAAGGCCCTAACATCAGAGCCCACTGACACCGTGTTCTATAAGGACAAGGTTCAGCTCAAGTCACATCCAGCTGTCCCCCCGAAGGTTGTCTCCCAATTTCACATGAAGCAGGACATCTTCCTCCCAGTGTTCTATTCTAAGCCGCACTCAAGCGGCAGGGAGCAGAGGCTTCACTCATTGGATGTCCGCAGAGCACTAGCCTTCTACTTCGAAAGAACAAAACCATTTAGGAAGTCCATGCAACTGTTTGTGGCCATGGCAGACAAGATGAAGGGTCTTCTAGTCTCCTCCCAACGAATTTCGTTGTGGATCACGTCCTGCATCCCTGAATGCTATAACGTGGCAGAGGTGCCTGCCCCTCCGCTCACAGCACACTCTACTAGGACTCAGGCTTCTTCAGCAGTGTTCCTGGCACAGGTTCCGACCCAGGAAATATGCAGAGCGGCCATGTGGTCCTCCATACATACGTTCGCCTCACATTGTATGATTACCGAGCAGGCCAGAGACGATGTGGCCTTTGGTAGAGCAGTGCTCCAGTCAGTGGATATCTGAACTCCAACCCCGCCTCTGAATCTTAGGCTTGTGAGTCACCTGATTGGAATTGACATGAACAAGCACTCAAAGAAGAAAATTTACTCAACTTCTCCTAACTGTTGTTCTTCGAGATGTGTTGTTCACGTCCATTCCAATAACCACCCACCTTACCCCGCTGTCGGAGTAGCTGGCAAGAAGGAACTGAGGGGGTGGCGGGTTGGCAGGGCTCTATATTGAGCGCCATAAGGCACGACTCCAGGGGGTGCCCAGGTTGACCCAATGGATGCTGCTAGGGGAAAAATCTTCCAGCTGCCTTGCCATCTTTCTGGTCACTCTCTCTTCTAGACACTGCAAGCGTGAAGTGTGCGGGTCACTTTTGGGCATGTGTTTACTGCAGGCCTCACAACTTTTAAACCTGGGGAACCGCGGCATGCTGTGGCCCCAGGGAAACGATGGGGAAGGGGGAGGAACCCCAAAGAAACCTGATTGGAATGGACATGAACAATACATCTCGAAGAACAACAACAGTTACAAGAAGGTGAGTAACCATTTTTTTCTGGTCTCTCCAATTTTGGCTTCCTCTCCTCCTCTGCATGTTGAAGCAAATTCCACGCTTCGAACATTGCAAGAGCTGCTGACCCAACACAATGGCAGACTCAGATATTCCAATTCGTGCACACTTTACCTGACGGCTTGGTTTTTGGAGGAACGCTCTATGGCGGTCTGAGATGTCCTTTTAAGCAGCAGGACAGAGTCCACAAGACACTCGTATCAAGCCAAGTGGACACGCTTCACTTCCTGGGTTACCAGACAGGGCCTTGTCCCTGAAGTGGTGGGCATCCCGCTACTCCTGGAATATTTCCTTTATCTGAAAGACTCAGGACTGACCCTTAGTTCCATTAAGGTGCATGCAGCTGCCATTAGTGCCTTTCATCTGCTGGTGGACAGTCATTCAATCTTTACCCACCCATTAACTATGTAGTTCTTGAAGGGCCTCCTGTGAAAATACCCTCCCATTCAACTTATCACCCCCCAATGGAACTTAAACTAATTCTCATCTTGCTAACTACCTCATTCGGACCTATGGCCTCATGCTCGCTATCTCTCCATGAAAGTCGCCTTCCTCATTGCCATTATATCGGCTAGGAGGGTTAGCGAACTCGAGGCCATAATGGCTAACCCCTGCTTCACTACTTTCCATAAAGACAAGGGCTCTTTACGACTCCACGCCAAGTTCCTATCCAAGGTGGTTTCCCAATTCCACTTCAGATTTACTTACCTTCTTTCCCAGATCTCATGCCTCGAATGAGGAAAGAAGGCTTAACTTGTTAGATGTTCAAAGGGCATTGGCTTTTTATCCTGAACAAACAAAGACCTTCCGGAAATCTCCCAGGCTTTGTTGCCGTAGTGGAGAGAATTAAAGGACAAGCCATTTCCACCGAGAAAATCTCCAAGTGGGTCTCAGGGTGCATTATGTGTTGCTATCACTTATTGGGACGGTCCCCGCCTGAAGGGATTCGGGCCCATTCCACGAGAGCACAAGCATCAACCACAGCCGCATTCCACAACGTGTCTCTCACAGACATATTACTCCTGAGGAAATTCCGTGCCAGAAAAATAAATTCTGCAAACAATATTTTAAAATTCTGCATATTTTATTTGTCAATAAATAAATGTGGAGGGTCCAGCATGACAGTGGGGAGCACAGGCCACTGGCTGCACAGAGATGGGAGATCATGTTGCATTTTCCCCTGCCCCCAGGACATGGACTTGGCAGTGAGGTTACACCCAGCCCTGACAAAGTGCAAGGGCCGGGGCCTGCCCCAGAAACACCCCGGGGCCCTGCCCCTCCATACCAGGTACATCAAGATAGCAAGCGAGAGGGAGGGAGTCTTGCTTGAACCCCCAGCCCTGGCCCCCAATCCAGGTGTGGGGCAGGCAGGCTCAGCCTGGCAAGATCCAAATGTGGAGGGGCTTAGGGTGTGTGGGGGGGGGGGGGGGAAATCCGGGTGCGGGGTGAGAGGGTTCTGTGTGGGACAATCTGGGTGTGGGGCGGCTCCATGGGGGTCCGGGTGTGGGGGGATTCTGGATGCACAGGGGCTTGTTGGAGGGTTCTGGGTGCAGGGGCAATGGGACTCTGCGGGATGGGGGTCCAGATGAAGGTGGTTGAGGCTCAGCTGGTGGGGCGGAGGTCTGGGGCCTGGAATGGAGGTCTGGGTGTGTGGGACTCCACCGGGAGGGTCTGGGTGCTTGGGCAGTTAGGCTTGGTGGGGTGGGTGGGTTCAACTGGTTGGGGCTTAGTGGGGTGGGGGTCCAGGTGCGGGGGGCTCATCTGGGAGGTCCAGATGCAGAGAGGGTGGGGCTCATTGGGGTGGGGGTTCTAGTGTGGGTGCTCAGCGGGGGTGTGTGGAGGGGGTGAGGCTCGGCAGGGGGAATCTGGGTATGGGGGGGTCCAGATGTATGGGGGTTGGGCAGATGGTGAAGTAACCCCCCATACAGTAACCCCCCATACAGTAACCCCATCCCCCCTGGCTGAGGAGCGATGGGTGCAGGAAGCAGGGGAGAGGGGGTGCAGAGCTTCCTGCAGCCAGGGGAGGTTTCTGAGGGTGGCTCAGCCACAGCCCCGCCTTCTACTTGCAGGTGAAGAGGAAGTCGGTCCTCCCCAATCCTCAGCCCAGGCTAGTAGCTGAGCCCAATGCAAGCTAGGTGTCACCAACTGAGGCATCCCCACCATGCACCAGCACTGCCAGGGAGGAGCCTGTGACCGTTCTTGCAGCTTCCCTTTGCTTCCCTGTCAGAAGGCATTTTTCTGCAGGGAAGCAAAGAAATCTGTGGGGGACATGAATTCTGCATGTGCGCAGTGGCACAGAATTTCCCCAGGAGTAACATATGAAGTGCGGCCATGTGGAGTTCAGTACACACCTTTTCCATATACTATGCACTAGTGCAGGATTCCACGATGTATGCTTCATTTGGAGCAGCAGTCCTCCGTTCCACAGTGTCCTCGCACCATCCTCCCATATAGGTATTGCTTGTTAATTGCCCTCAGTGGAATACAATAAAGGACCATCACTGGAAGAAGAAAACAAGGTTACTTACCTGTAACTGAAGGCAGTTCACCGTACCCTTTATTGCCTCGGGTGAGACTATAATGCGGCACTACTTTCAAAAGCTCCAGCTTTGGGCATATGGTGCATGCACGTAACGCTCACTGGAATACAGATAGGAGCTATGCATCTCGAAGAACCTTCGTTTACTGGTAAGTAACCTCGTTATCTTCAGGTACTGTCATACTGGTATGTGAGAACTGGGAATACGTGCAGGTCTTCATAGAAAAATGAAAGCTAATATTTTAGTATTGTGGTGATTTATCTGTAGAGTAGCTGACTCAACATTATATCAAGTAGATTCTCATAATTAGCAGTGTTTCAGCTTTTACTTTTTTGATAATAGTCAATGTAGCAATTGAATTGAATTTGCGAAGGGAAATCTGAGACTCTTATTCTTTCCCCTGTCAGATTGCAAAATTGCGTCAGCAGTTGCAGAGAAGTAAACACAGCAGCAGGCATCATCGGGATAAAGAAAGACAGTCTCCATTCCATGGTAACCATGCAGCCATTAATCAGTGTCAGGTAAGGCTATGCCACTTCTCAGAGCATTGTGGGATATAACATAATGTTAACTCCTGTGTGTTCCAAGTAGTGATTTTTAAAGAAAAAATACTGGCATATGTTTTGAAATACTTGATTACTGCTCAATGATGTATATCTGTGAAATATCTAGAACCTTTTTGTCTTATGAGATGAAACTGATTTTCTTTAGCATGCTGAAGTGGGGTGTGTTTGTGTTTTTTCTCTAAATTAAAAAAAAATTTAAAGGGAGTTTGGTGAAGGAATATACTGATTTACAACATAATTTGTAAGGACTCTGAGGCAGAAGGATGATATAGTTAAGTTCACTGAATTAGAAGTCAATCAGTATGGATGAATTTAATCTAATTCTATGAAATAATCTTACAGGTAAAGTGATGTCTAGGGTTATGAATTTGCATATAAAAAACTGCATAGAACCAGCCTGGTGGTATAAGTGGTAGCATCTTGAGAGTGAAGTTTAGTTTCTTCTTGACTCTTGGGCACTGGGCAGTCCTGGGCTGAGTGCTATGGAGGGATCCCAGTTGTCCATCAGATAGACATGAAGGGATTAGGAGTTGATGTTGACTTCCTTTGAAAGGAGTCCCATTCAGTTACCTTTAGGTGGAAAAATGGTAGCTTGTGAGTGACTCAAGGAAGAATAGTGAATCCCCAGACACAAACTGCAGAGGAAGGATGATGATGATATATTTACAAAGCATATAATTTTTCCTCTAGAACTGTATAAAAATATCCATTCAAAAGTTCTTTACTACTTCTGTGTCACTAAATTCAACCTTGTGTTTAGGATGAAGGGAGTAGCATAGATGTCTTCCCAATAGGTGCATGTTCTTGTCTCTTATCACACTCTGATGAATTCCTATCATGATTTCTCAAAAAAACTTCTTTAAATTTTAGTTTCAGACATGTACAACCAGCTGAAGAAATTGCTTGAGTTGCAGATCATGATCTCTGCACATCTTAGATTTTCAAATCGGTTCCGTTTTGTATCTAGCAATGTGAATTTGACAAAAAGGTTCTCCTTCAGTCATGTTAATTGTTCCTAATAGAGAGTTTCCTCTGACGGGTTTTCCCCAGGGTGCCACCTGGAACCGGGGTACCACTGAGCCCCTCTGACCCCCCAGCCTGGGCTTCCCCTCACACTGTGCTGCTATGATAAGTTGCCAAGTCCTCCAAGCTTGCTCTTTCACCAGCCTACACACAGGTAGGGACACACTCAGCTGCAGAATTTACAGGCTGCTGTGATCAGCTCATCATGGGGAAGCTACAGCTAAGGAACTGCCCAGAATTATACCCAAAATCATACCGTCGTGTGCTGCACAGAGATCTGTACAGTGTAAGCTCATGAAATTTGCCCCCTCCCTCAATGTGGAGAGAGAATATACAACAGCTTTTTGCCCCAAGGTACAACTCCCACACACTGGTTTGTGATGAAGCAAAGGCAAATTTATTAACTACAAAAGATAGATTTTAAGTGATTATAAGGGGTAGCAAACAGATCAAAGCAGGCTACCTAGCAAATAAACACAAATGCAATCTGATCTTAATATACTAAAGAGATTGGATATAAGTAGCAAGTTCTCACCCTAAATGATTTAAGCCAGCTGCAGAGATTTTTAGGGGGGCGGCTGCCCTTGCTTGCAGCTTAAAAACTCCAGGTGTTCCTTTCACAGGCTAGAAATCCCTCTAGCCTGGGTCCAGCAGTTCCACCCCCAGTTCAATCTTTGTTCCTCAGCTGTTTCCAAGAGTCTCCTTTGGGCACTGTCAGTGAAGAACCACGATGATGTCACTCCCCTGCCTTAAATAGCTTTTGATACGGTGGGAACCCTTTGTCTCCAAGCTTGGTTCCGATGCGTTTCAGTGGAAAAACACTGGTATTCCAAGATGGAATCCAGTACCAGGTGATATGGTCACGTGCCCCGGTAGTGTCATAGCAGCCATGACTCGGAGGCTGTTTGTAGCATCCTCAGGATGGCTCCCCAGTGGAAGATGAGCTTCTTCTAAGACCTGTTGTTCTCCCGAATGGGTCCTTTCCAGCCAGCCATCTAGACTGACAATCTTTTGCCTAGTGGGCATACCCCAGGTGTAAACACGTTTCTAATAGATACATAGATAATATTCCTAACTTCTTGTAGTGAGGCAATTGTTACATTTATTTTAGTGATGCAAGAACAGAATGGGATTGGCTTTTTAGGTTCAATGTTGATTTGGGCCACTACTTCAGCAAACCTTTGAATTTCTAGCTATTTTTAAATTTATTTTTCTTACATGAATTTTTACTCCTGATGCAGTGGGTAGCACTGAAGGTGCTTGATGATCCCTCTTCCATTATTTGTTGTTTTGTCCTTTGGTTCTGCTGTTAATGTTGCAATGCATTTTCACTTTGGTAAGATTTACAGACCATTTTATGGTTTCTAGCTCAAATGTCTTCCCTCCCCCTGTATTTTGTTCCTATGAACACTGTTTTCTCTCCACAGTCTGCTGCCCTACCTATCTGTAAATCAAGCTAAGATGATTTGGCACCAGTTAAAGATCTGCCCCCCCATCTTTATCTTCCCCCAGCCTCAGACCTCACTACTTTATCTTCTCTCGCAGTCTCCCCACATTCATCCTTGGGATATTTGATGATCCCACTGACTTGTTTGGCTCTTACTTACTGACCTGCTTTCTTGATTTACTGCCTTGGATCAGTCTGTCCCGTTCCACACTCCCCCCCCCCCCCCAATCACTTCCTTGACATTATCTTTGACCAACAAAGAATATAAATGTAGAGAAGCATAACATACACTTACTTGGAGGTATAGGATATTGGGGTCAAAGATTTTGGACATGTTTGGGAAAAACAGAAGTAATTTCCTACACTGGCTTTCAGTTATTTTTCTTCTTATGGAAACGTCTAAATTTTTTCAAACAAGAAGGGCAGGGGTGGAAGGTGGAGAAGCAAGAGTTGAAAAAGTAATGACAACCTGAACTATGTAGCTGCTAGTGTTTTTGTTATAACATGGATGAAGATTTCCAAACTTGTGGGATCTCCTGGTGTCTTTTATGATGTGCAATCCATCTAAACTCACCACACCAGCTGATGCAGAACAGGTGCTTCATTAAATAGATTACCTCTTTTCCAGGAGAAGTAAGGAAGACAGTACACAGTTCATGTTTCTCATTCCATAATAAAAGAACTCGAGCAGGTTAGGAAAAAAAATTCAGTTTAAAATTGACCAAAATGGGGTTGGAGGGTTAGGAATCATGAGTTATTCTCTTGTATTTTGATCAGCTGTAACTGGAACACTGGGCCTAGGGGTTGTCCTTCAAGAGATCAGCACACAGCTCTATGAAGAGACTTGTTTTTGTTTTCCCTTTAACAATTACCAATTTAAACCCCTTGAAATTGGAGGAAGACCTACTAGTTGTGTTGTGGAGAGACTTTTTTCCAACTCTGGAGAGTCCAATCTAATGTGCCTGAACACTTGAAAGTGCCTCACACTTCCAATCACTGGCAAGAGCTCAATGGGAGAGAGCGCTCAGTTGCTAGGAAGAACATCCGGCAAATCCCAGAGCAGCACCATCAGTAAAAATTAGAATGAATACCAGGAGGGAGCAGGTTGATTGATTGTATGTACCACTCTCTGTATCAGATTAACAATTACAAACAGAGGAAAGCTGAAAGTAATTGGAAAGTCTTAGAATAGAAATGATGGAAAACGTCTTGAGTTTTTAAAAAAGCCCAGAAGATACATTATGTAAAACCAACCAAGTGAGCATTTGTAATGTACTAAATCTTGAAATGCAAAAAGATTAAGAGATTGACAGTAATGAAATATTTCTCTCTCAGTTTAGGCGAGGGATAGGCAACCTATGGCACGCGAGCTGATTTTCAGTGGCACTCACACTACCCGGGTCCTGGCCACCGGTCCGGGGGGCTCTGCATTTTAATTTAATTTTAAATGAAGTTTCTTAAACATTTTAAAAACCTTACTTACTTTACATACAACAATAGTTTAGTTATATATTATAGACTTATAGAAAGAGACCTTCTAAAAACATTAAAATGTATTACTGGCACACGAAACCTTAAATTAGAATGAATAAATGAAGACTCGGCACATCACTTCTGAAAGGTTGCCGATCCCTGGTTTAGGCCATTCTCTAATCAGCCTATGACTAAAGCTGCACTTGAGCAAAGGCTTCTTCAGAGCATTCCACTGATCTGTCTAGCTTATGGTTGGGGTACCAGTACCGAACCTCTTCTTGCTGTTAGAGAAGATACCACTCAGGACAGTCCCTAAAGTTCCTGCTGATGCAAGAAAAGGTCCTTCTTGAACACTGTCCCATGCCTCATCTGCAGTTACTTTGTAACATCCACACTGCAGTTTTTAATGTTTCTAACCCAGTATAGGAGAGCTGCAGAAACTTTTTGGAAAACTGCATGAATCTCCATTCTTCATGTGGAATCCCCTATGGGCTGCTGGTTCCAGGAAAATGATCTAGATTAAGCTGCAAGAAAGCTCATGTAACTCCTGTGGAAAATTTCCAAAGCAACTAGTGACTCATTTATTTTTTCCCTACTGCGGACGGTGAGAGACCAAAACAAAAAGCATAAGCAAGTATTTCCACAAAGTACATATGTCATGAACATACAGCTAAGGGTAGCATAAAATCCCTCCTTTACCTGTAAAGGGTTAAGAAGCTCAAATAACCTGGTTGTCACCTGACCAAAAGGACCAATAAGGGGAGAAGATGCTTTCAAATCTGTGGGGGAAGGTTTTTGTTTTGTCTCTCTTTGTTGTTCTCTCCGGGACAGAGAGGGACCAGGGCAGGAAAAATACATCTCCTAAAGCCATATCTGAAATAAGCATTTAAGATTACAAATTGTAAGTAATAGCAAGGAAATGCGTTAGGTTATCTTTTGTTTTAGCTTGTGAATTTTCCCTATGCTAAGAGGGAGGTTTATTCCTGTTTTTTGTAACTTTAAAGTTTTGCCT